AGCCAGTCCCCGCCACGAGGGCTCAGCGCCGCTCGCTGCCGCGCGCAGGAACAGCGCCCAAAAGCTCCGCCGGCTGCCTGAGGTCCCCAGCCAGCAACTCCGGCAGCGGTTGTAGGCTCCTACCCGTGCCGGCACCGGACCTGGCTGAACCTGAACCTACGCCCCTACCACCTCCAGCTGAGCCTGATTATGCCCAGTCCTCTTTGGCTGGGCCGGACCTTGCACCCGTATCACCCCATGGCTTAGCCCATCCTCTCCAAAAGTACTTCCACACATTCCCTCAAATATTCCAAACGTCCAATCAAAGCACCAGGGTCACCCCCACCTTCCCCAGCCACGGGTACTGGATTCTAATCCTCAGAAGAACCAGCCTCTTGGACTCAGGACAGCTCCTCTGGAAGGTAGCTCAGAGGCGCCGGCACCCTACTCGCAGGCCAGAATAAATATACCTACCTCTCCCCACGCCCTCTGCCCGCGCGCCACACTGGACTGGCTCTGGATTGCAGGAGTGGCGCTGAAAGCCACTCCCCCGCCCACCCCAAAGTGGAAGTACTTCTATGGACACCCGCACCTAGTCCGAGTAGCCCGGCAGCCACCACCCCGCCCCCTTGATGAAGCTGCTCTCACTGAAGGAAAACCTTGGCTCCAGCTCAGGGCGCGGCTTGGGCTTGATCAGTCAGACCCACGAGGTCCCGCGCTAGTGACAGCTGCTGGACTGCCAAATCCGGGCTGTCGTCATCCTCTGTTTAATCCGAAATTGGAAGTTTTCCCGCTAGGGAACTCTTTCTGTGATTACTGTACAGATAGGCTTCTTCAGTTTTCAGGGTTGCTCTTTTTGTTTTGTTTTCCCCACCCTTTCAATAAGAAACTAAGTCTTAACCATGACATATCCAACAGGGCAAAGGGGGAGTCCCTTATTTCCAGGGTTTTGATTCAAGACATTGTGGAAGAAATCAGTATTTCTAAATCTTGGCTGATAAGCATCCCCTGTGGCACCCAATTTGCTGGATCAGAGGTGTCTGGAATAAGTTCAGGAAACCGGTGCTAGAAAGCGTCCTCGAATTAATTAAAACCTTGGGAAGACGTCTCCAAAGGAGCAACACAGTCCAGTGCTGAGACCTTAAGAAAGCTCCCCCACCCGTCCTTCGGGAGAGAGAGGGAGGTCAGGGTCTTCAAATAAGTCAGATAGTTTTGAATGACAAGCTGGAAGGGACAAAGGACTATTTGCCTTATAAAGACAGGACAGGAACTGTCATTTGTGGGATAGGCTAAAAAATGCTGTATCCCCCAAGATAACCAGGAACCTCTAAACATGGCTTTATGTAGAAACAAGGCCTTTGCCAATGCGATTAAGAGTCATGAGTTGGGAAGTTTAATCTGGATTGTCTGAGTGGGCCATGTGTACCCTTATAAGGAAAGATTTAACACACACGTTGAAAAGTCCTTGTGACCATGGAGGCAGAGGTGAAGTGGTGCAGTCAGGAGCTGGAAGAGGTAAGAAAGGAGGGTCCCCTAGAACCTCTAGAGACAGTCCACTCTGCTAACACCTCAGTTTGGATCCAGTGAATTTGAGTTGGATCTTGTAGCCTCCAGAATGGTGAGAGAATCAACTTTCAGTGTTCTAAACCACCAACTTTGTGATGGTAAGTTCCAGCAGCTCTGAGTCCTGTGCTATGCCAATGTTACATAAATACACATTTTCCAAATCCTTCCTAAGCATCTGATGGCAAAAAGAAATGGAGGAAAAGGATTGCAGTGTGACCATGCCCCACTGGGGGGTACCTCCCCCCCTTTCTTGCAAGCTTACACCTTCTGACAATTAAAAATAAATAAAAAGGGTCAGCCTTTTAGACTGAGTGATTAGAATAGCTGGATCTCACATGGCCACTGGCACAATTTGAGTCCCAGACCTGGGGCCTTAAGAAACACCCCAGATGCATGTGCATGTGTACCCAAAATCCTGAAAGGAGAAATAAAGAAGGGATTGCAGCATGACCATCCCCCACAAAGGGAGTGTGCTCACTACCACCTGTCCCATTGCTCTCCAGTGAGTCCATGCATGGGATTATTTCATAAATATTAAATCCTTGCAATAATTATTATTCCAATTTTAAAGTTAGGGACATGGGAGTCAGATTTAGTCTGTCCAAAGTTACACAGAAAAGCCCACTGAAACAAAGTCTGCCAACCATACAAATATTAAAAAGTAACAATTACAAATTCATGTAAACCATTTCAGTGAAAGTTTTTTTGTTTTTTCAAGACAGAGATTTTTGCTATAGGATGCTTGCTCACCAGAGACAGAGAGACAGTAAGAAATCACCACCCGCCCCCAGCCATACTGCAATCCCTTCTCCAGTCTCCACTCAAGATTTTGGGCACACACACACACACACATGGCCAGCACAGGTTTCAAGCCACCATGCCTGGGACTTGAACCACAGTCAACCACATGAGAGCCCAGTGCCTTAACCACTATGCCACCTGCTGGTTTTTTCAGGGAAGGTCTTTAAAGAGGTCTTCCACCATCTCTATCTGTTGCCCTAACCTAGGGATGTTGATATCCAGAGACATTGTATAAGTGTGAGGCAGTATCTAGACATATAGGGGAACTCTGAACCTTCCAGCCAGTTTTTATTTTTATTTTTATTTTTAATTTGCTGGAGGGCATGTGCACTTGTCAGAGAGGGACAGACAAAGAAAGAAGGAAAGCAGCCCCCATAGAGGATGGCCACACCACAATCCCTTCTCTATTTCTCCCTCCTTTGGGGATTTTGGGCATGCACAAATGTGCATTATGTGTGTTTTTTTCAAATTGCTAGTTACAGGACTCATTTGGACAGTTGGCCTCATGGGATCCAGCCTCCATAACAACCATGTTACCAACTGTCCCTCAATTCTGTTGTAAACCTAAAACTGCTCTAAAAAATAAATTCTGTGGCCAGTTGGTGGTATGCTGGTTTAAGGTAACCAGATCCCACATGACCAACTAAGTGGTTTGAGTTCTGGACTCAGTAGCTTTAAAACACACTAGGCAGGAACAACATATGGTGTAATGTTTATGTCACTGGACTCCCAGATGGCTGATCACATTTCAAGTGCCAGACCCAGGGGCTTGAAACTCAGGCTGGACACACCTGCCCAAATCCCAAGAGGAGAATGGAGGAGAAGGGATTGTAGCATGGCCATACCCCGTGGGGGGTGATTTCTCATTTTCTGTCTCTCTGTATCTCTCTCTAGAGAGTGCACACACCTTACAACAAAAATCTCTAAAAAAAAAAAAATCCAGGCATGTGTACATCTGTGCCCATAATCCCAAGGGGAGAATGGAGGAGAAAGGATTGTGGCATGGCCATCCCTCCTATGGGTGATCTCTCACTCTCCCCATATCTGTCAGTGAGTACACATATCCCATAGCAAATTTTTAAATAATAATAATGAATTTTATTAGCAATAACAGAAAAAAGGGGGGGGATTGAATCTTTGTGTAGCCTACCTTTGATACTAGGTTGTCAGGAAAGTCATGATATATTTTTCTGTTTTTCTATGCAAACATGCATCATGACTTTCCCGACTACCCAATATCTATCTGAAACATGACAAATCAAAGGAAACTAACGTGAAAGGATGTTACAAGGGAGACAGAGAGACGACACAGACTTCTCTAGCCTATGGAGTTGATGTCATAGGTTGGGTTCCCGGGGAAGCCGACTCAGAGACAGAGTGGCAGGATATTCATTAAGGAATGCCCATGGGGACAACGTGTGTGTCAGCAGGGACAGGAAGCAGGATGGGCAGAGACGAGAAGTTGAGAAACAACGTGTACCCAACGGCCTCCATCAACCTCACCGGAGGCCCTGGGCCAGCATGGCCTTTCAGAATTACTGGGCCTAAGTGGCTGGACCTTTAGAAACTCTCCTGAATCAGTCCCTGCATGTGATCCGCCTTAGGAGGTGACCTGAGCTCCAGTAAGGCAACAAGTCTGCAGTCAAGAGAGTCCCAGAAAGGCCAGACACCGACAGTGCTCAGAGCTGGGTGGTAAGTCCTTTCTTGCAGGCAGATCTGGGTGGTGCATCTCCATGCCACCTACTTACACAATGCGTGACATTTTTATCTTTGTGCCATTCTTTCCAAAGGAAGACAGAAAGCTTCAGGGCAAGTCAGACCCACGAGGTCCTAGGTTAGTGACAGCTGCCAAATCTGGGCTGTTGTCATCCTCTATTTAATTTGGAATTAGAAGGATAAATATGCATAAAGCTCACGTTACGCATATGGTTTGTTTTTGTTTTTGTTTTTCCTGCTTGTGACTGTATCTTGCCTTGAGGCAGGATAGCACATTGGCTAAGATTAGAGATTCTTCAGTCAGACAGCCTGGGGTAGAACCAGGTTCCATAACTCTTCAGTATAATTTTTTTTTTTTTTGAGAGGTTTTTGCTATAGGGCGCGTGCATTCGCCAGAAAGACAGAGAGAGGTAGATAAAAAGTGAGAAATCGCCCCCCGGGGGGATGGCCATGCCGCAGTCCCTTCTCCTCCATTCTCCTCTTGGGATCTTGGGCATGCCTGGTGTGAGTTTAAGCCACCTGGTCTGGGACTTGAACAGTGTTCGGCTACATGGGAGTTCAGCAACATAGCCATTATGCTAACTGCTGGTCCCTCTCCAATATAATTTTGGACAAGATGCATGCCCTCTCTCTGCCTCAGGTTTTTGTTTTTCAGGAGAATAATAGTACCTATCCCATGGAGTATCTAGTCCACTATGAGAATTAAATATGGCAGTATTATAAGGGGCTTAGCTGTATATCTCATAAATGATCAGCTTGAAACTCATGCTGGGCGTGTATGCGTGCATGCCCAAAATCAAAAGAGAAGAGTGGAAGAGAAGGGACTGTGGTGTGACCAAACCCCTTAGGGGGTGATTTTTCACTTGCTGTCTCTCCAGCGAGCGCATGTGCCCTATAGCAAAAATCTCTCTCTCAAAAAAAATTTTTTTTTCAAGTCCTAGCACAGTGTTTGCTGACTGACACTGCTTGCTGAGTGGATGACCAAGGAGAAGACCAGATACCACAATATGAAAAGTTTGTGTACCTCTGTGTTCAGCACCTCCAGTGCCTCTGCTCGCTTTTCTATTAAATTTTCCAGCTCCAAAACCTTTTTTGTTTTTAATTGACAATAGGTACATGCTCACCAGAGAAAGCCAGGGTGGGAGAAATAAAGCACCCACACACACACTCAGGGCATGGCTATGACACAATCCCTTCTCCTCCATTTCTCCATCTTGTCGAAATTTGGGGCATTCAAGTACATGTGCCCAGCATGGTTTTCAAGTCACAGAGATCAGGATTTAAACTGCAGTTGGCCATGTGGGCTCTGGCACCCTTAGCAACGAGGCTAAGAGACAGGCCCAGCTCCAAA